AAGACTTGAAAAGTTGGAAAGAAATTGAAAAGAAAATTCGTTTGGTCCACTAATTTTATTGGTTTTGGTCATTTTTCGGGATTTTTTTTTGACCCAATTTTTTTTTTTTTTTTTTTTTGTTTCAACATGCGACGTTTTCTTTTTGTTGTACTCGAAGTATTTGAATCACATATCTTAACTTGACATGAAATTGTTTGGTTATAAATTAGTTTGTGTAAAATGGAAAGTGGACAAGAAGATATGATAACAATGATTGCAACATTGCGATCAAACTTTACTGTAAATACAGTTTGAGAACAGTCTCCTAAGCAAATTTCAGAAACATGTCACATTTTTACACATTCTGTAATACGATTAATTAGCATGAAACTTGCAAAACTTTTTAAAAACTATTTGAATCCTAATGATTCATCAAATAATCAGCATAAAATATATTATCACTGATTGAATATTTGCACCACATAAATTGTTAACCGGTCTTATCATTGGAAAAAGAGTTAAGAAAAAAGAGAAATAATGTTTTATATAGTTTAAATTAATTTAATTAAACATATATGCTAATATTAATTCAAGTTAATCTTATATAGTATTTCAGTCAATAAGATGAAAAACCGGATGAATCCTATCAGCTATTTTCTAGATTTCCATTGAGAATTTTTCGGTATTACATTACATCCAGGTACTTAAGTACTCAAATGATGCTACTATTCAATTTTGAACCACTTTTATTGATGACATATACTTGTAACTATTTTCAACCATAAGATATCTCAGATTTCATCTTGAAATGCATCCCAAAAAATTGTTCACATTTTCTCGTGAAATAATCATTACTAGGAAATTCGGGTAAATTTCAACGATGTATCAAAAAAAAAAAAAAAAATCAAATTATCACTTTTACAAGTTAAAATTTAGGTCTGACTGGAAGTATTTTCTACAAATTCTACAAATTAAAGTTTAGGTATAATTGGAAGTAAAAAGCAGCTAAAGTAAGTAATAAAGCAAACATTTGATTGTTAATTTATCAAATTTTAACTTTAATTGTTTTTAATAATGAAGCAAAATTACAACAATATTTTATCAAAATTAGATGTCGTATTCATTTCTTAGCAATGCTTTTTTATATTAAATGTTAATATTTGAATTTTAAATTCGTTTTTTTTTTTTGAAGTGTATTAGTACAAATAAATGTCTTGCAATGCTTTTGAAGTATCATTCATAAAGAACACTTTTTTCAAATATCAACAAAGTATGGAAGAATTCTTGCAAATAACGCAATTTTCTTTTATATCATTTCCATTTAATGTAAATGTAATAATTCCATTGATAATTTTGCTTATATTTTTGATTTATTTTCAACCAATTCTTGTGCTCATTTTTTAAATTCTTACAATAAGAAAAAATATGAATTTAATTAAATCGCTGTTATTCCCTTTTACGCTTTTTTTTTCTTTAAAACAGTTTAAATTTAATTTAATCAAAATTTTTATCTTAAAATATTCTAACATAAAATTGTTGTCCATTTCCAAACTAAACATTGTATTGGATATATTAACAAATGGTTCTTCACTTTTAGTTTTTGGTATTATTATTTCTATCATAATTTGACCATAAAAAATGGTAGCATTTTCTTTTTCTTTTCTTTTTTTTTTCTTTTTTTTGTAATACTATTCAAAAAAAAGCTTTTAAATTAAATTTCGATAGTTTTCTGTTTTTTTTTTTTCCCAAAATAGTTTATTAGTCAGGAAGAAAAAAAAGAACGAAGAAGACGGGAATTTTCATCAAAACCAAACCTCAATATCGTGACATATATTAATTTCATGCTATATGTCATTCATTTGTGCATATTTTAATGAAAGTATTTATATGCAAATTCGTGCATAGCTAAATTTATTTTCTTATAATTCATTTCATATAAATTTGAAAAAGATATATTCTCTCCCAACGAAAAAAAGAAGAAACAAAAACTTTTAAACGTTATTAATTTCTTTAGGGAGAATTAAACTTTCATCTCTTTAAATGATGCTAAATTGATTGTAATAATTGGAATATACCTAAGAATATTCCTTAACAATTTCTATCAATTTTTCACTTTATTTTTTACTAAATATTTTTTAAATTTCGAAAAAAAAAACTCCATATCAAACGATTTATTTATTTGGTCAATTTCATCATGAATTGTTTGAATTAAAAAAAAAAAAAAAAAAAAAGAAAAAAGGTGATCATTCGAACATTAATACCATAACTGGTTTTAACAAATATTTGAGTTTTTTTTTCTTTTAAAGCCATTGTCGTCATCTATCGTCGTTCAACAATTATGGATCAAATTTCATCATAATGCATGCATTCTTCTAGATGGATAAATTTTAACCTATTTATTGATCTGAAACTTCCTTACATTAATAATATGGCTAATTTAAAAGTTAATTAAATTCAGATTAATTTGAAAAAGTTAATTAAAAAAAAGAAGGAAGAAAGAATTATAATTTGATTGCAATAATATATGCCATTCATTTAGTATCAAACGATTTATATATTTGCAATGAAATTTTCGTTAGGCATTTCGCAATTTTCATACCTATCCCATTAATTTGTTATCTAATTCTAAAATTCAATCACAAATTAGGATGACAAATTATCTGATAAATTATTATTATCTTGAATGAACTTTTTTTTTTCCTTTATCTTTTATGTTTTATTAAGAAGGTTGGAAAGGTTAAAAAAAATAAATAATAAAAAAGAATGGAAGAAGAGGGAAAAGTGTAGAAGGAAGAGCATTTGTAGTATAGAATCGATCTTCTTTATTAGATTTTCTATCAATGAATTGGAATTGTTGATTATTGTTTAGGATTATGGGATAATTGTAATTGATAACATTTAGCAATTTCAATTTCATTTCCAACTTTTTTTTTATATTTAAAATATTTTTGCAACAGTTTAATTTCTAAATTTGAATTCACATTTTTTTTCTTTATATTAATGAACGGATTATCTTTGGATATTTTGTTTAGTTAAGGGTAAAGTAATTAAAAGGAAGAAATGTTTGGGATAATTTTCATTTGTAAATTTATCAGTTACATAAATTACTGTTGATAATACTTATATCGTATATTATCATTCATGTAGTAAATTTTGTTTACTGTTAAGTAAAAGTTTATCAGATGTGGATTTTAATGATATGAATTTTGATAAATTCCAGAAAATTCCCCTATGAACTGAAATGGTAGAAGTAGTCTTCCATTATTCATTTTATCAATTTTTATTTATTCACTTGTTTATTTTATTTATTTATATTTTTATTTGTTTGTTTGTTTAATTTTATCGTTTTTATTATTGTTTGCTTACTTATTTGTTCAAATTTTTTTCGTTAAAAATTTATTATCCAATTACTGTATAATTATTACAATTAATTAGCCAATGCTTTTTAATACTGTAATATCTCATTAATTATAAATTTCAATGTATAAATACTATTTTGTAATAACGACGCTACGTTATATGCTCAATTTAAGTTTAATAACAGAAAAAAATTTTTTTTTTTTTTTTTCTAGGCCATAATGGCATTAACAACATGGTTCATACATTATAGGTTACTGATCTTCATCTTAATTTGTTGTGGTAAGTTTTACTTTTTTTTTTTCGCACGAAATGAAGAGAGAGATGAGAAGGATTGAAATGTTCTAGAAATTTTTTCAAATATTTATGGTTGGGCAAATTATCAACGTTCATTTTGATTATGGAAAAAAAGAGGGCGGGAAAACTAATTTCTAATTTGAAATATATAATTGATAAATGTAAGCAGTATTAAAATTTATTAATGAATTGTTTTTCAGTAAAATGTAACGT